ACGTGTAACCAATAATAATCAATGTGGTAATTACTAGCCAATGGATGTAAATTTGGGAGGTTCTCTATTGTTTTTGCTAACCGTGTAACAGGATAAATACGTGTTGATTCCTGTGTGTTGTGGAATACAACCTAGCACCCATACCTGTGCAAATATGCTAGAAATAAAGTACCTCCCCTCTGTGCGTATGTTGGCGTGCTGCACACTGGGTATACGATCCCACTTTTGGGACAACATGCACGGCGGCACTCCCGCCTGCCCAAACCCCAGATGTCCTGCAGATGATCCCTGGAAATACAAAAAGCTGCATTTTTAGCCAGAGAGAAGTAAAGGCCAGGAATGTGGAAGGGGGAGAGAAGAAATACCAGGCTGCCGTCTCATCCCAGGACATCCCTGTACCTTGAAGCAGCACCTGTGTCACCCAGTGGAGTTACGGTCAGATCTTGCTGACGCTCGGGCTTCATGAAGGAAAGGTGCTATGCCTCCTGCGGCGTATGGCTTCAGGCGGCGTAGGAGCCCGGAAACAGACTGTCCTCTGAAAACGGCTACCAAAAGTGGCATGTCCCCTCAGGGGTCTGGGCCGGAGGGATGCTGGGGTGGCGAGAGGTGAGGGGTGGCAGCAGGGGCCCGGCAGAAGCCACAGCGAGCTTGCAGCAAGCTCGCAGCCGGCTGCCTGCAGCGGGGAAGCTGCAAATGCGCAAAGCAACGCCTAAGCCGGCATCTGGTCTGTCAGTCAGAGGGAGCAGAGGTCATTCGCCAGGGAGCACCCGGAGCCTATAAAAGGGTGAGAACCGGGAAAAGGGTGAGGAGCAGGAACAGCACGCGCGTCTGCCGGGACGTGGGCGGCTCGGCAGGTACGTATGGCTTGGGTTTGCTTTGGCAAAGAGCCGCGGTACAAAACTATGGAAACTGCTCGTGACTGAAGCGGTGTCGCTGCGGGAAGGTGTGGAAACAGAGGTGAGGTTTTGTACCTGGAAAACGACTTCAGAGCTAAACCGGAGCGTGCTGCCGACGGGCACCTCGACAGAGGTGGGCAGCGGAGGTGAAGGATGGCAGCTTTTGCCCTGTCTGTGCACGTACACGTGTGTGTGTATGTATAACAAAAAGCTGCTTTATGACCTTGGTTATGGGTGAAATGTGGCTGCATGCACCTCGGGATCCATTTTGTCCCCATCAG